AAGTCATTATAATCAGTAATTATGTCCCCACTGGATGCAACAAATGCCTCATTTGTAATGGGTTTTATTGGTTTTGTCTCGTCAACATTTCCGTCACACGCTTGAGGCATTCGGCCAATCCCAACGCACTGGATAGCTGGCTAATCACAGCACACCTAGCTTTTTTAGAACGATGAGTTTTGTAAAAATCGACGCGTTTCAGAAAGGCTGGGCATAGAGGAGAAACAATAATGTACATTATATGGAAAATAATGTGTTTTTTGAACCTTAAACCGCATAAACACATTGCATTACACCAAATACACAACATAATGTTCTTTTTAGCAACGTCATATGACCCCTTTAATACATTTTTTTTTTTTTGGACTGCTGCTAACTGCTATAGGGCTGATATTTTGTGTTTACATGCAGTGAGCAAATATAAAGTTGTTTTTATCATTGGGGAGCCATGCAGATGTTCTTTTACAGATGTTACCCAGAGAAACAATTACAGTCCGAATAGCGCTTATGATGTAGTTGGATACATCCACTGTCTAAGTTTGACTTTCAGCCATTACTGGATTTAGAGAAGAGAGACTGGTATAAATTGTTTATGTTGTATGATGACAGGTTTATCAACATCCGTATGTGTGTGAAAGAGAGGGAGAGCGAATTCCAGGGCTCTGAATGCCAGTATGAATGTTTACTCTAGACATTGTGCAGGATTTTCTAGAGTGGTTTAACAGCAGAGGATGGTCAAGGCAGAGCAGCGTGGACGTACAGGGTGTAAATCAGGTCAGACAGGGTTAAGCCAGGCTAGATTACTCGCTGTCTTTAGCTGAGGCCTTTCAGATTTCCTTTCACACACATAAACACATAGAAACACAGACATGCAGGCAGATAACTCCTGTACAGATGGATTTTTACAGGCGAACAAGAAACAATCTTCTGTATAAAAATATTAGTACTTGTATTAAGTATTTGTTCTCTCAAAAATGGAAATTTGGGTACACTTTAGTATAGGGACCAATTCTCACTATTAACTAGTTGCTTATTAGCAGGCCTATTATTAACATATTTGGCTGTTTATTAGTACTTATAAAGCACATATTCTGCATCACCATATTCTACATCTCTAATCCTACCCAAAACCTAAACTTAACAACTACTTTACTAACTATTAATAAGCAGCGAATTAGGAGTTCATTGAGGCAAAAGTCGTAGTTAATGGTTTGTAAATAGCGAGAAATGGACCTTAAAATAAAATTCACTTCCACTTTAAAAACAAGTTGTTATTCTCTGAAAATTGAGCATTTATAAGAGAAATAATAATGCTTTGATCTGTAAACAAATCATTGTTTTGAGCTTGATCTTTTCAGTCTGGGACTCAATGCTGAAACATGCAAGCTTACTTTATATGTGTACTTGTTTATATGTCCTGCATTTCTAAATTCAGGGCCCAGGCTAAGAGTACCTCAAACAAAGATTACATGGGATAGTAATACTGCGTGACAGACAAACCTCAAGAAAAATCCACTAGTTTCTCCTCAAGGAGTTCTGCTCAGCCTTCTCCATCAAACATTCATGAAGATATACACACACGCACACACCGATGCACGCAAAGCTCTCAGCTCCACAGATGTAATGTGCGCTATAAGTCTTTTTTATGTGACGGTTGGTTATCGTTCATGTATAGAAAGCGTACGGAATGAGAACAACATGGCTTCTGTCAGCGTAACAGTTTGTGTGGAATGGTTTGTTGTCATTCTTGTGCAATTAAAATTAATCAGTAGATTTCGAAAAATGAAAGTGTACTTAATATTGCTTATATTTCTTTAAAAAAAAAATGCAAAATGCATGTCAAGATGGACAAACTTCCTGATAATTTTTCTATCTGTGTGTTTCCTCAGCCAATCGGAGCGCTGAACCCAAAGCGTGCTGTATTCTACGCCGACCGCTATGAATCATGGGATGAGGAAACTCCACCCTGCCACTACACAACCCACTATTCCACCGCAGCCTCCACCCTCCACTGGCTTGTCCGAATCGTAAGTCTCGTTGATTGGATGGATGCAAGGAATTTGATATCTTCAACATCTGGGAAGTACCTAGTTTTACTGGATAGTTAACTGAGCTGAGCTGCTTCTGGCTCGTATTATGGCCTCTATGAATGTTTAATCATATCATACAAGTCCGTTTTCAATGAGAGGAAGTGTAATTATGTCACCCGTTTATGAATATTCTAATGATTACAATGCAAATACCCCTTTTTATTTGTAGTACATTAAAGGAGACCTATTATGCCCTTTTTTACAATATATAATATAAGTCTCAGGTGTAATATAAGTCTCAATATGTGACCCTGGACCATAAAACCAGTCATAAGAGTCAATTTTTTTAAATTGAGACTTATACATCACCTGAAAGCTGAATAAATAAGCTTTCCATTAATGTATGGTTGTTAGGATAGGACAATATCTGGCCGAGATACAACTATTTGAAAATCTGGAATCTGAGGGTGCAAAAAAAATAAAAATATTGAGAAAATTGCCTTTAAAGTTGTCCAAAAGAAGTTCTTAGCTATGCATATTACTAATCAAAAATGAAGTTTTGATATATTTACGGTAGGAAATGTACAAAATATCATCATGGAACATGATCTTTACTTAATATCCTAATGATTTTTGGCGTAAAAGAAAAATCAATAATTTTGACCCATACAATGTATCGCTATTGCTACAAATTTTCCAGAATAATTCCAGAATAAAAAAGAGATTTTCCCCCATTTTCCAGAATAGGACTGTGTCTTTAAAGCTTGTACATCAGATACTCTGCCAAAAAACCTTTGTTTGGTTTTGATTATCATGTGCATCGCGCTGAAATCATGCGTTTTAAAACATATTAGTTTACATTTCTGATATATGGTTTCCTGAGCGCACACATCCAAAGCATGCTCATAAAAAGCGGCTATCACACAGCATGTGAGTACTAAACTAAGTTCTCTTTCATGTCTTATTGCGCTTAAACTGTCAAATACACACACATCTTGTCTCCTCTGAGGCTGGGACTCTAAATAGTGTTCTGTGCTCATCAGTGCAGCCAAAGACAGAACAGTTAGCATGCTTTGCTCGAACTTTCACCATTGTCGTTTGCGAAAACAATGGCGGCACCGTGGGTGGAAATTTACGGATTAAGGTGTGGTAATATTATAATAAGATCCCCTTTCTACGTCACGGCTGGAGCGAAATCTGAGCGGCTCGGTTTTTTTTACATGCTTGTAAAAAGCCTACCAAAAAAATTTACTGGGTTGTTCTTTTTCACGTCTTTTGGGTTGGTAGATGCACCGGGGACCCGATTATAGCACTTAAACATTAAAAAAGTCAGATTTTCATGATATGTCACCTTTAAATCTTTTATATTTACGCTATGCCATGCAAAATCTATCCAAAAATGTAATATTCTTCAAAATGTATCAAGGCTGTACATTGGAAATGATGCTGTCAAGAGTCTGTGTATACATAAAACAGTCCAATACGATAACCCCGATCCCAGTTAGTGGATCAAATCACCGTCAGTCAAAGCGCACGTTAGCGCGTCCTTTCACCGCACATGTGAATCAACCCCTACATCTCAATCCACGAGCTTGATGTTCCGCTACAGAGAGCCGGTGAGTGGATTTCACAGGCTGGTAAACAGGCATATGTGAAAAAGAAGTCCTCTGCGTAATGATTTACAGGCTGGTACGTGACAGCTTGATGCCTCTCAGACAGCACATGGAGCGCTGGGAAACATGTCCATCATTGTCTCCTGCTAACGTCCTCACTTGCCCTGAGTCTCCAAGCGCTGATCTGGGACAAATGGACTGGTAGACACAAAAAAAAGCCCAGAACACCACAGAAAATGAAGTTGTTCTTAAGGTTGAGAGGAGATTGGGTTTGAGTATCTCCTGATGCTTTCGTTTTTTTCCACATTTGTTACATCATATGACTATGTTTTACTAGTCTACAATGATAAACAATACACTGTTGTGTTTTGTTACATAATTCGATTTTTTTCACTGCATAAAGATTTTATGCCAGAGCTCAAATCAGTCAAGTCAAGTCAAGTCACCTTTATTTATATAGCGCTTTTAAAAATACAGATTGTCTCAAAGCAACTGAACAGCATTAATTAGGAAAATTCAAATCAGTCATGCGGAGTGTTTGGATTAGATCTGCATACTTGTTTTTGTGTCAGATTTTATGATGAATGCAATCTAAACCAAGTGTAGTTTGTTTACAAAGCAATTTGTGTATGTGATTTGATTGAAAAGCCATTAAAGCTCATTATTTTAAAAGACCTCTTTTAATGAGGAATCTGCCTATCCATCTTGCGAGAAAAAATTAAAACACATAATGAAAACTTAGTAATTGGCTCTTCCAAGGCGGCCCGTAGCGTTGGTGGTGATGATTTGGAAGGTTCCCCTTGGCAGCTCTCACACCGGGCTTGACTGAGACTGTAGACACCATCATCTTTTCCTCTGGCTGATCCAGCATCTCCATGTCAACTCCTCATACTGCCAACCCAGACTGATGACCCTGAATCTGCCAATTAGAGCCGGAGCTGAGCTCCTCAGCCAACAGGCCATATAATTAACTCCGCCTCGGGCACTGTTACAGAAAATGAGAGGACAAAAAAAACCTTCCCACAAGCTCTTCATAATCTGACAGATGAGTCCCTACATTGAGATGTTTGTGCAAATGGAACGTTTCCCAGAGCAGCGAAGAGAAGGACTCCATCACGAGACTGAATCCAATTACCATAGAAATGAATGTAGATGAATTGACTTTTTTATTCTACTGATGTTTTGGGCACCGAATAGCATTAGCGCTTCACAAAACAGTGCAGATTTGTCTAAACAAGTGCCTAATTAGCAGTCAGAATCATGTGATACGTCTACGGTTATTTTCACACGTTTGGAAAGATGTTTTTGAGCTTATTTGGGTCAATAAAAGTGACAGTGTTGTTTTGTGTCTACTCAATTGCAGGAGCCTTTCACTACATTCTTCCTAAACGCCAACGGCAACAAGTTTGATCACCCAAACCGCACTTTCTCCGGCATCGCCCGCTCGTGGAGGCACTGCCAGCGTGATACTGCAGATGTGAAGGTAATCAGATATTATTTTTTTGTACATTGTAATGTCTAAATGGGCTCGGAAAGTAGTCATTAGTGCCTGACTGTTATGATGATATAGGTGTGTAACTGTGAGGAATCGAATAAACAGTTTGCCTCTTTTTAGTCCAATCAATCAACTAAAATTGGTATCATCCAGTGCCCAAAAAAACAAACAGGATTGCATTGTTTTGATTTGCAGCAACATTTAGTTCCTGTAGCTTCCGAGCTGCATCAACACTTTCTTTTTTCCGTTTTATATGTGTGGGTTTTTTTGTGAAATTAAGATTTTTCTTCATAAACATTTAAAATAAAACATCGTTCAGCATGCACATATTTCAGAGAGGCATCACTTCATCACCGTAATGGTTGTTCCTCGTTGCCTCCGTTCCATTTCAGCCCCTCTCTGCGGCTCAGCAAGCGCACTCGAGCTGACCTAAAAGTGTCAGACTTTTCCAGCACACTTGGTGAAGGGTTAGCTTCGCCCCAGGCAATTAATAAAGCATTAATGACAAAAGCTATTTAAAATGTAGTCTTTTATGTAAAGGCAGGGCTTTTTACTACCCCGGGCTGGGGAACAGCATCCAACAACACGAGGTGCAGGCGATATGCACGGCAAGGGAGCGGCTGTACAGGGAAACGCTAGATATGTTAGCAAATACAGGCCTCTCGGAACCACTGAGGTGTCTGTGTGGATCATGTTAAACACATTTAATGGTCACCAATCTGTTAGGACAGAAAATAGGGATTTTTTTTGTCTTTTCTTGTGGAGCATGAGGTGATTTTTATTATGGATGAGCAGCATGAATTTTATCATAAAAGACTAGCTTTGTATGAGTATTAGGTTTTAACAATCTAACTATTCAAATCACTAAACTCTTTCACACACACACACACAATAAAACCTCTGATGAGCATTATTATTATGTACAATTTAAAAATGATATATACACATACATATAATTATTATTATTATTATATATGGATATATTTGAATATGTTTCACTTTTTATTTTATACAAAATAGATAATAGACAAGATAATATTAAGATATTTATTAAAAATATAAATATATAAGATAATAGATAAGAAAAATATTAAGATATTTAGTGATTTTTATATTTTTTATTTATACTGTATATGTATACACACACACACACACTAAAGAACATGGAAGTATAAAAATATAAAATAAACAAATATATATATCTTACTTAACTGACTGATGTACATTTTATTTAATTTTTTAATAGTTTTATTGTCCTTTAGTCGCAGTGGCCTTCCAGTTCATTCTGCATCATTTCACCCTAAACTTACTCATTACCCACAATTCTCTCTGTAATGATCCCACGCAGCAGGAAACAGCATTAAAAGAGCAAATCAAAGTTCACTGGCCATTTGGTCTTTCCAGACCACTGCCTCAGCACTGGCCTTGTCTTATAAAGGTCATTATGCTGTATCATTGATCTATTTCTGTTGTAAATCTATGTATATGTACAAATCTGTCAATAGGTATTTTAGTTAGATATTTCATGCCAATTTGATGATGTTTTATCATTTTCAACGTATCAGAATATGCTTTTAAGTATTGTCTCAGCATCCAGCAAGTGACCAGCTCAGCACTCTGGCCTCCTGCTAAGAGCGAAAGAGTAACTTTCCCTCCAATCGTCACCAGTTTCTCAATAATCTGTTGGCGGTGCTCTGTCTGAAGGTGTGGGATGAAGCGGTCGTGCCCGGTGACAGCTCTCCAGGAGGGTGTCATTAGGGCGAACGGTGTAAAGCAGAAGAGTCTGAGTGTGATTGACTTGTCAGCCCATTATGAGGCTGTAGAGGAATTATTGGCTCACGAGCGGAGCAGGCTGAGGATGTGGATCATGACGCTAGCAGCCCAAACTGTTCGCGACTGAGCAACTGTCTGCAAACTTTATAAACCAAACCTCCTGTGAGAATAAAGATGGAGCTCTGTCCAATTTTGATTGTCACCCTTGAGGTTGTGTTTGGCTTTAATTTTGGAGTCACTATGGTACCGTCAAGATACTTTAGTTGTGAATGAGTTGTTGTGTGATGATAATGAATCTCCTTAACGTTTTACATTCACACAAAATGTCCAAACTAGATTGCTTGTAATCAGTAGCGCCGTCGACACTGGAATTTTCTGCTGGGATGCACCTTTAGGTGACAGACGTCTAATTTCTATTTTAGATGCACTGCAGAGCTACTTCTGCTACTGTATGTTTCTCATCCATCTGAAATAAGATGATGTTGTTGACAAATATCATATGTGATATGTTTTTACTATAGATTTTATTTGTTGTACAGTACCAGTCAAAAGTTTTTGAACAGTAAGGTTTTTAATGTTTTTTAAAGAATTCTCTTCTGCTCACCAAGCCTGCATTTATTTGATCCAAAATACAGCAAAGGCAGTAATATTGTGAAATATTTTTTCTATTTAAAATAACTGTTTTCTATTTGAATATATTTTAAAATAGAATTTATTCCTGTGATCAAAGCTACATTTTCAGCATCATTAATCCAGTCTTCAGTGTCACATGATCCTTCAGAAATCATTCTAATATGCTGATTTGCTGTTCAATAAACATTTTAGTATTAATTATTATTATCAATATTTAAAACAGTACATTTTTTTCAGGATTCTTTGATGAATAGAACGATTATCATTTATCTGCAATAAAAAGATTTTGTAACATTATACACTATACCATTCAAAAGTTTGGAGTCTTTGGATAAGACATTATAAAAAATTAATACTTATTTTTAGAAAATATACTTTAAATTGATCAAAAGTGATGATAAAGACATTTATAATGTTACAAAAGATTTCTATTTCAGATAAATGCTGTTCTTCTGAACTTACTATTCATCAAAGAAACCTGAAAAAAACTGTTTTCAACATAATAATAATAATAAATGTTTTTTGATCAGCAAATCAGAATACTAGAATGATTTTGAAGGATCATGTGACTGGAGTAATGATGCTAAAAATGTAACTTTGAAATCACAGGAATAAATTACATTTTAAAATATATTCAAATAGAACAGTTATTTTAAATAGTAAAAATATTTCAGAATTTTAATGTTTCTGCTGTATTTTGGATCAAATAAATGCAGGCTTGGTGAGCAGAAGAGACTTCTTTAAAAAACATTAAAAAATCTTACTGTTCAAAATCTTTTGACTGGTAGTGTATATATTTAAATACCTTCTGACCCTTCTGTCTTGTTTTATAAATCTCATTTTAAATTTAATTTAGAATGATTACATTTTAGAACAGCTAAATGTTCTAATATTAATGATACTGCTGTAAAATTGATCATAATAGATTAACATGATAATAAATATTGATAATAATCAGGACTGTGTTAGTGAATATTCAGCGATGACATACAGCTTTAAATCTTCTTGTGCAGACAGTTTATTGGTGGTCTACAATGTAGACATGAGGTTAACATTTTAGAGCTGTCTGCTGTGATAGAAATCTGAGACATTCTGAAGGATTATTGAAATACTGAGGTTTAACGCTCATAAAAGAGAGTGTATTTTTAAATACTGACCCTACAGCAAAAGCATGCTGTGTTTTATTGTAGGCATACTGTTTCTTGTGACCCTGCATGTGAAAGTCCTCTGTTTTATGGCGCTTTAAAGAACTTTGTTATACACACCAAGGGGACGTGGTTAAGCAGCTCGTTTCAAAAAGACGCTGTATAACAGCAACTTGAATCCAAAACAGCAGCATTGGGGAGAAAACATTCAACCTGTCAGGTTCAGATGTGTGCAGACAGAATGAAGTCTTAAATGATTCTAAATGGTTTTAAAGGTTCTTCAAAGGCAAGAGCTTTTGAGTGACACTAAACGGGGAGGTCACATTCCTCGTGTGCACATGCCCCAATGTACAGAGGCGTCTCTCACAGGGAATTATGGGTAATTTGCACTGATATGGCAGTGAGAATGGAGAAGAATTGGGAATGTGGCAGCTTTAGTGGATAAGAGATAATCAGGGTCAGGGAAGCATGTAAAAAAATTAAGCAAAAAATGTATAATGCCATCATATCAGTAGAACTATTAAAGCTTTTATAGTATTTGTGTATTTAAACTTCTAGAAGCACAACTAGGGGTTAAAACCATCCGCAATAATCCATAATCATATTGTGACACCTTTAAAAGAGAAAATAATGGTAGTTTTATCAATCCAACCCATATATAGACATTCCAGTTGAGTTTTGTCTCAATTTAATGTGTGTAATCATTTAAAAAATCTTTAAAGCATTATGCTTCCCTCTATCATTTCAAATCATGGTTACTCAACCAAAATCCCAATTTTGCCTCTGGGCACAACAAAACCAGACCTGCTTCACGTACGTCAACAAATACAGCAGATCCATCCATCAGCACACTTCAAACATTAATAAAGTTTTCTGTCATCTCTCATGTTTCCTTTGTATTTTCACCCTCCCCCATCTTCGTGCGTTTGCCGCATTCCCACACTCTCTGAGTGTTTTCAAATGTACTCTGATGGTCCTTCACTGGTCTCCTGGGGTCGTTTTCCATGGCCGCCTGAAACATTGCCAACATTTTGATTAATTGAACTTCAAAACATGCAATGTTGAAAGCATTGGTATTTTTGCATGTGCATATTAACTTAACTGAGCTTCTTTTGCTTGTTCTTTCCCTCCTGTGCTCTTTCTCGTCACTTCATAGGAGTTGATCCCTGAGTTCTACTACCTGCCGGAGATGTTTGTGAACAGTAATGGCTACTGTCTAGGTGACAGGGATGACGGTGTCCCTGTTTGTGATGTAGAACTACCAGCCTGGGCAAAGAAACCTGAGGACTTTGTCAGGATCAACAGGATGGTAAGTCGAACTCGCTACCTAAACACGACAACTCTCTTCATCACATGGCCTGAACAGAATCTGCACATACAGGATTCTGTCATTCACAAAGTTTGTAGATACAATAGTGGACTTTAGTGAGCGTTTCTCAGCCCAGAGCCCAAGATAGTTGTCCTCTCCCGACCATCTCTCTCTTCTGTTTAGCTTTGGGAATATTAGAAAACGATTCAGATTGGGATTCTTGCTCCAATTCCTCTTAATAGTTATTTTCCCTCAACAGTTTAATTAACAATTGTGACCCTGGAGCACAAAACCAGTCATAAGTAGCACAGGTATATTTGTAGCAATAGCCAACAATACATAGTATGGGTCAAAATGATCGATTTTTCTTTTATGTCAAAAAATCATTAGGATATTAAGTAAAGATCATGTTCCATGAAGATATTTTGTAAATTTCCTACCGTAAATATAGCAAAACTTAATTTTGATTTTTCTGCACCCTCAGATTCCAGATTTTCAAATAGATACATATCTTAGCCAAATATTGTCCTATCCTAACAAACCACACATCAATGGAAAGCTTATTTATAGATGATGCATAAATCTCAATTTAAAAAACATTGATCCTTATGACTGATTTTGTGGTCCAGGGTCACAATTCTGTTAATAGTTTTGAGAAAGAAATATATAAAAAAAAATAATAATAATTATTCTCACCAAGGCTGCATTTATTTTATAAAAAATACGGTAAATACAGTAATATTGTAAAATATTATAATTTAAAATAACTTTTATTCTATATTTACTTTAGCTTTATATTTTTGTGAAAACTATGATACATTTTTCAAGGATTAAAAATAAAAGCAACATCTATTTGAAATAAAAATCTGTTTTAACATTATAAATGTCTGTACTGTCACTTTCGATCAATTTAATGCATCCTTGCTGAATAAAAGTTTTAATTTCTTTCAAGAAAATGTGTGTGTGTGTGTGTGTGTAAGCAAATCTGACTTAGAAATCTGATTCATTTTTGAATATATTCATTAGGACGCTCATGCAAACTGCATATCAAAAAATTATTAAAAAACAATGCATTGATTCAGAAAATGTGGGAGACCTATAGTCCAATAATGTCATATTGCTTTGCTAACTATATTACATCAACTGATGTAATGTCTGAACAGAATCTGCAGAATCTTAAATTCTTTATCTAGTATTTAATCTGCAATCCATTTCCTTCTGTCTGTTCCCCTGAGATCACACTGATTCGTTTGAATGAAACAGCATCCTGGTCCTCTGCAGGCCTCTGTGTGCTGCTTTTCCATTGTTTAGGTCGTAATGTAGTGCACTGCTCGATACTAATGTAATCTACTGCTGAGCTGAATGATGTCACGGAGGACAGGCCCGGCCACTGTCCCTTATAATCTTACCCTAATGCCGACTTCATCAATCATGATTTGGCTCGCAGCAGACAGGATATGTGTGTGTGTCCACCAATCCCTGTAGACTGCGGTGGGCTCAAAATTGTGTTCTGCCTCTTATAATGGCTGTATCTTACACACATACTCATAAAAATGAGAGTACCACATGGGGAAAGATGGGAATTGTATATGCTGCATGATGTGTAAATTGACTCGTGTTTGTGCATTTAATGCTACTGATTGTGTATCACAACTTCTGCCATATCAAAGTATTAAGGGTGTGTTGAGGCCCATGCTGCCTGAGGAAAATGTGTGTGTATGTGCACTACAGGAAACACACTTGACCTTTTCAGATGCAGTGACAGTGTTGGAGTGTGTGTGTCTCTTGTGGAGGTGACCTTTCCTCCGGCCTCCTTTTTTTTCTGGTTTAACACATTCAGCTATAGAGACACACGTACTCGCACCTACACATGCACATATCCAAAGATCACACAAGTAGCTGTCTGTTAAAGTGAGATTTCCTTAAGAAAGGGCTTGAGGATGTCAAAACACCTCAGACATATCAAACTATTTGACACGAGCCTTGAATGGTACAAAATCTGTTCAGGTCTCACAGTTTGGTTTCCTCTTTCTGGTAAAAAAAAAAAAAAAGCAAATTTTAACAAAAGCTGGTGTAAATAAAATATAATAAGCTCCTCGTCTGGTTTTAAATAAATAATTGATCTATGCATGCGGTTATAATTTACTCCTCAGCTATGTTTTGAATCCATTTGTCTTTATTTCTTCCAGCAAATAAGTGTAGTAGAAAGTCCTAGTGCCTTTTTCATAACAGTTCTATTCCTCTTCACTTTTATTTATTTTATTTTATTTTCACTAAAAAGAACCGACTCTTAAAAATCATTCATTCAAGAAATTAATTTGTTTTAGTTTAAAAAAAAAAGTCACTGGTTCCGAGTAAGAATTCTGATTCATTTGAGTAAGAATTCTGATTCATTCACTTTTTCATTTAAACAGTTTGTGTCAATAAACACAATAAATAAATATAATAATTTATACAATAAATATTTTGAATTTTTTATTTATTTTTATTTTTTATTATCTGTGTTTTTTTGTTCTGTCACTGTCATTCTGTTACACTGTGGAAGCTTCTGTCACGAAAACAAATTCCTCGTATGTGTAAACATACCTGGCAATAAAGCTCATTCTGATTCTGATTCTGATAAACAATTCACAGGCCAAATAAATGATTAATTTCTGTACATATTAGTAAGTCTTCTCAGATCAGAACCAGAAAAGCACTATTAATACACCATAATATTGGTCCATACATCTGGTGGTGTGCTGTATTTCAAGTCTTAAGTCATATAATAACTTTTTGTGAGGTACATATTTAAATTAGAAATTTCAATATTTCCTGAAAACCTTATTTTAAAACATATTTTTGTTATATATCTCTCAAAAGTTCTCTTTAATTTGATCTCACTGACGTCAAACATGCCTTGACATATTGGCAAACCATGTTTGAATATTTATCTTGCCATATTTCCGGGTCATTCTGTAAAATGTCTTCCTTTGTGAGCCACAGCCAGTGTTGCCAAGTCCGCGGTTTTCCCGAAATTGAGCTACTTTAACACTGTTGCCGCAGGTTATTTTTTATGTCCGCAGGTTGAAGAAATCCCAATAATGTCATATTTAGCCCCGGGAATGTGAATTGTACCACGGGAACCCTGCCAAAAAAAAGATTTTCCCCCCTAGAACGCGGACCCCCCTCGAAACATGATTGGGCTAGTTTTGAGTAGCAATTGGACGGGTTTTGTTGCAAAAACCTGGCAACCGTGTCCACAGCAGAAAGAAAATCATGATAACTTTAATATTTGGGTCTCTTTATTTCATACAGTAAACATGCAGGAATACCAACACAAATATCCAGTTTCAATAAATATTAATTTCATTTTGTGGTCAGTTTTTAATGGAATTCTTTGGTTTGTTGCATTGACTGTTAGTTAGGTATGTTAGGTTAGTTGAATAGCACATACATTTTTAAACAGGCTACGGCTCGATTTTGTCCTTAGATCTTGTCCTTTATTTTTCTCTTTCTGCTGCTCTTTCTCTCTGTCTCATTTAATCCCCTCTTTCTCTCCTTGTCTTTGTGCTGCCTTCCTCTCTCTCCTTTCCCCTCCTGCCATTTCTTCCTCTCTTTCTTTCACTTAGTGTTCCCATCTTTGCATGTGTCACTTTCGATTGTAATGACATGCCCTGGGGGGAACTCAGCCCCTGCGCTCCACGGCTTCCTCTGTTGGTAATAGCTGTTATTTCTGATGTGAGAGTGAGTGTGTAAATTCCAGCAGCGGTGCCCTGGGTGTGTTTGTGTGTGAGAGGGAGGGAAAAAAAGTGTGTGCCACTCTGTGTTATTTGTTCATTCTTTCTTTTTCCCCCCTTTATCTCAGTATGACAGTTTTTGATGGGATTTGATAACTATAATAAAGCACTTCTGTACATCTTTAAGCGTTAACAGCAGTATCCAGGCCTTATTGGAATAGAATAATGCTGTTGAATTCATAACTGACCATAGTTAATGGTCAAAAATAGAAGAAAATAGAAAATATAGAAGAAATGCTCACTGACTGCAGGTACCATAAACGAGGAGTGTGTGTGTGTGTGTGTGTGTGTGCGCGTGTGCGTGTGCGTGAGAGCCGTTGTTCACTGACAAGCTACGCAAAAAAATAGCGCGATTATGAACGTGGTTTTGTATGTTTATGTGTGCATGTGTGTTCACGTCTGTACGTCTGTATGTGTTTGTGTTCATGTTGTGTATGTGTACCTTTCACCTCTAATTGCCCCGCTCTCTTTGACAGGCCCTGGAAAGCGAGTTTGTGTCGTGTCAGCTGCACCAGTGGATTGACCTTATTTTTGGCTACAAGCAACGTGGGCCCGAGGCAGCACGCGCCCTCAACGTCTTTCACCACCTGACCTACGAGGGCTCCGTCAACCTCGACAGCCTCGTCAGTGATCCCCCGATGCGCGAGGTAGGTCGCCATGAAAACAGCAACAGGCTTTCAGAATCTCTTTTTTATGCATTTTTATAATTGGAACTGTGTCAGTAGAGGGTAAAACGCTTTATAAATGTCACCACTAGATGGACTGCTGTCTATGCTGACATTATATAGCTAAATAGTGTGGGGTGTTTTTAAATTTATATATTTGCATTTAACTTTTCTTTTAAGGATTCCAGATGCAACAAGTTTAAAAACAATGGCGTAAGATTCGCAATATCAGCATTCGTCAACCGCCGTTCAGGCATGAATGAAGTTTCAGTTGAATATCTGACTGTCAGTATGTGTCATTTAGATCTTACCATGCAATTAGGTCCTCTGGGAAAGAGAAACTCAAACTGCTTACTCATGTGATTTGGATCGTCTGCAAAGTAAAAGGTAGTAACCATGAAACTGTAGGTACAAATAAATACTTTACTTAAAGGTACAGTTGATTATGTCTGTGCCAATAAAGGCATCAGACAGATTTATGAAAGTGGTTTTTGCCCATGCAAAATCACCATCACATGCCAAGTCTCTATGCTATTCTGAGCCTTCATCAATGTACATTTTTTTTTTTCAGCTTGTTTTATCATCCACCAGGCAAAAATGTGTAAATCTGATCATATAGAGAAGTAGTAGCAATCTTTTCCACAATAAACCACTTAATTTAAGATATGTCCATAGCATAAATAGTGCACAAGTGAGCATTATTTTAGTATTATTTGTACATGGTGAAAAAAAATGAAAATAAAACAAATTATAAGAGTGTGTTTTTATATATATATATACTGCTTCAGTTTTTCTACTTAAAAATTCCATGTTTAATTTAATGTGTCACTTGCCATTTTTTATTTATTTAATTTTTTATTTACTGGCAATTCCTGAATGAAAATTGTTTCCACGCCAAATGGTTTTAGTGTATGCAATTATAGTATTTTATTAAAGGGGTCATATGATGTTGCTAAAAAGAACATTA